GCCTAGGTTCTCTTTCCTCATTTTGATCTATCTCTTGCTCTTGCTCTTGTTCTTGATTTTATTTTTGATCATGACTAGTAATAGCATCATAAGATCTTTTATTAGTCTTTTGTCCAGTCTTATTTGGAAAAACATGTTCAAAGAATGATGCATTCCGAGATTTAATAATAGTATTTACATGCATATCAGAATGTTCTGATTTATGAATCAAAAATTGATATGCACTACTATTCTTAGCATAACCAATGAAAATACAATCAAAGGTTTTAGGACTTATCTTAGTCTTTTTAGGACTAGGAATAGCCATTTTAGTCAAACACCATTACACTTTTAAGTATTTGTAGGATGGTACTTTTCTATGCTATATTTCATAAGGTGTTTGATTCACTTTCTTTCAGAGTACTTTATTAAGTATATAATTAGCAGAAAGTATTGTTTCTCCCCAAAAGTTCTGAGGTAATCCAGAACTTATTAACATGGCATTCATCATTTCTTTTAAAGTCCTATTTTTCCTTTCAGCAATTCCATTTTGCTAAGATGAGTAAGGAGTGGTGGTTTGATGAATTATTCTATGTTCTTTACAAAATTCACCAAAAGGTGATTCATACTCACCACTTCTATCACTTTTAAGTTTCTTAATTTTCTTACCAAGTTGATTTTCAACTTCATTCTTGAATTGAATGAAAGTTTCCAAAACCCCATCCTTGGTTCGAATTAAATAAACATAACTATATCTAGTATAGTTATCTATAAAAGTGATAAAATACTTTTTCCCACCTCTAGTTTGAATTGATTTAAAATTACAAATGTTACTATGAATTAATTCAAGTAGTTCCGTACTTTTTTCAATTGAATGAAAATGAGTTTTGGATAATTTTGCTTCAACACAAATTTCACATTTATGATTTGAATCAATGTCAAATTTACATAAACATTCCATATTAATTAATCTACGCAAAGATCTATAAATAACACGTCCAAGTCTACCATGCATAAATTTGAAGACTCAAGCAAGTAAGAAGAAGATGCATTTTTCTTAATAATAGAGGGTACAACAGTCATTGCATTCATTTTGAAAAAACCATCAGATATGTAACATTTTCCTACATACATCCTGTTTTTGGTAAGTATAAATTTGTCACTTTCAAAAACTTTGTACTTACCAAAAACTAGCTTAAACTCATTTTTACTCAACAAAAATCCGAAAACAAGGTTCTTGTGAAAATATGGTACATGTAGTACATTGTTGAGAGTGAGTTCCTTTTTAGATGTCATCTTCAGAATAATCTTTCTTTGTCTTTCAACTTTGGAAGTTGAGAAGTTGCCCATAAAAGTTTGGTCACCGTTGTTTACTATAGAATAAGATGTGAACATCTTTTTGTCGACAGAGATGTGGCGAGTAGCACTAGTGTCCACCCACCATTCTTTAGGATTTTCGATAAGGTTTGCCTCGGAAACAACTGCAGAAAGATTTATGTTATCAACACCATTGAAAATTTTGTTCATTTCGGTCATATTGGCTTGAGCAGGCTTCTTGCTTATTCTTCTTTTGCTTTTGCCTTTGCTATGGCAATCTTTGGTCCGATGTCCCTCTTTGTCACAGATGTAATACTTGCTATTAAACTTGTACTTTTTAGTTTCCCCTCCTTTAGAGCCTTGTGAGGAACTTTCTCTAGAAAACTTCTGTTTTTCGACTTTTGGAGCATGCTTCACCACATTTGCTTTTGACTCGATTGGATGCTTACCAGTCCGCTTCTCTGAATTGCAGTTGTCCTCCTCAATCCTCAAACGCACAATCAATTATTCTAAAGACATTTCTTGAATTCCTTCTAGCCTTTTGGTAATTTCTCAATTAAGGTTGCAACTTGGAAGGATTCACTAAGAGACATGCATTCTGCGTGAATGTCATGCATAATGAGTTGGAGATCTTGAATTTGGCTGATCATAGTCTTAGAATCAACCATCATAAAGTCCAAGAATTTGTCAACCACAAATTTCTTTAAGTTAGCATCTTCTGTTTTGTACTTTTTTCTCCAGAGACTCCCAAAGTTCCTTTACCATTTTGATAGGACTGTAGACGTTGTCTAATGTGTAGTCAAGTTCGTTCAAGATGTAATTCTGGCAAAGAAAATCAGCATGTTTCCAGGCATCGATCGCAGCAACCACTTACCGGTCAGTTTCATCTTTTTTCAAAGTAGGAACATCTCCACGGAGAAAACGAGCCAAGTTGAGAGTAGTAAGATAGAACAACATTTTCTACTGCTATCTTTTAAAATCAGTTCCTGAGAACTTCTCTAGCTTCTCACCGTGATTGACTGGCACAACCATAATAGGAGGAGGGGTTGGCGTAATTGCAGTCACCATACTAGTACTTGTTTGAGCATTAGTTTGACCAATTTCAGTAGTCATGAATTCTAAATATAAAACAAAATTGTAATTAGAATTTTATGTTATACATAAAATTTAAACCAAAACCACATAATTAAATTCTATAAAATAAAATAAACAAGAATTGTAACTTTTATTTTCAATTAATTTGAAAATAGAATAAAATTTTATTTAACCAAATTAATTCCATACAAAAAATAAATTTTCTGTAACACTTCAATAATTAAAATATTGAAAACAAAATTTTAATTAATGAACACTCAAAAAAAATTTCTGAAAAATTTCACAAATAAATATTCTGAATTGTTAATGATATCAGTATATTACTACTAGTTGTCAAAAAAAATAGACAGTATATTACTATTATCTGTCAAATATTATATTGCTATTATTTATTTTTCTAACTAGAATATTATTTTGTAAAACTGCAGAAAATAATTTCTGTATGAAGAAGAAAAGAAAAAAATGAAAAATTTCGTATAAACAAAATTATTCGAATATGTCTTAAGATTGTTGGAACAATCTTTTGTGTAAATAAATAAATTGAAACAAAACAAACAAATAAAATAAATTACGTATCGAATTTATTTTACCGAATCGAATAAATATTTAAAAGATCAAGTTGAGTGTGTGATACTCTGTCTTTAAGACATATTCGCCCCGTTACGGTGCTTACGGATAAAATGCGTCTATCTTCCAGGATACAATGATCTTCACAAATTGTAGTAGCACTCCGCACAATTTGTACGGCGAACAAAAACCTGTGTTCTAATACTCTCTGAATTTTTCTCTAAAACTAGTATGAAGAATAATAATGCAAAAGAGCAAAATGAAGGCAAGAAAATCAATTTTGCTAAATCAAATGACTGTTGGAAATGCCTTGGTATAAATAGACTCGAACAGGTCTGAAAAACAAATTGAATATGTGGGTTTTTTGAATGAACAGGTGGAACAGATAACAACTGGGCAATTTCTATCTGTTGGAAAATTGATGGTAGATTTGAATCTATTTGGCAGTTTTGAATCTGTCTGGGTTCCAACAGATCTAAAAAACTGTTCGGACTGATTGAACTATTGTGGAATTCAGATCTGAAAGAGGCACAAATTATGGACAAAAAGTTTTGAATTCAAATTCAAATTACATTGGCCAAAATTTAAATTAATTTTTCCCGCAAGAATTTTTGGAAAAAAAAATTCAAATAAATTTTGTCTAAAAAATTAATATAAGAACCGATCCGACCAGCAATCCACACCCGTGATCAGTACGGCTCGGTTTGACCGGCCGGTCTGACGGACGGCGACGATAGTGGCGAGTGTGTGGTGGTTTGAGCCAAGGTTCTATTTGTCTATAACTCTTCCCTTCTACAAATCTGGAGTGCCCCTTGGGGCTCAACCCAAGTGTTGTCACCTAGAACTTATATACATACATAAGTTCTCTTAAGTTTCCAATGTGGGACAAACCTTGCAAGGAAACCTACATATAATTCTTTAATTGTCCATTCTAAGAATCCGAAAATAACGTCAAGTTCCCATTCACTCATAAATAGTTTTGACGAACCGTCTTCACCGTGTGACTTGCCATACGGTAAGGAACACGTCACCTATTTGGATCCACCTTAAAAAACGTGTGGACCCCACTCAAATTTGGGTTCAAAGATGACCCAAAATAAGCCTATAAAAATTAAATTTTCCAACAAAAACATCATATTCAATCCATAATCATTTCATTTTTTCTCTCACAGAAATAAAAAAAACTTATCTCAAACAAGACTTTTTAGCTCCAAGCTAAAATAACCAAAAAGTTAACTTACATCCCAAACGACCTGAATGATATTTGGCTAAAATTTAGTTAAGGTTTCATTTGGAAGGTGAGATTAAAGGTATAAGAATGAAAAATATCAAAATGGTAATTTCACGCACAATAATCTAGGGTCCAGCTTGTCTTAGGTTGAGATCAAGACTGGACCCGTCCAGTTCGGCCCATGGGGCCCTTTTTTTGGGTCCGTTTTGATAATCCGAACCGTCAATGTGTAGAATTCGTCGAGTACTACTTGCCTGTAAAAAATCACGTTGATTGGATATCAATAGCTATGTGATCAAATCAGTTTTGTATAAAAAAAATGAACGGTGAAACAATTAACGGTTGATAAAAAACTGTTTTGTTTACGTAGCTATCGATATCCGATCAACGTAATTTTTTACAGGCATAGAGTACTTGACAAATTCTACATATTGAACGGTTCGGATTATCAAAACGAGACTCGTGATGAACCCCTACGGACTCAATAGCACAATTTAATCCGACTTTGGATTGGACCAAAGCCACTGCCATAATCTAATAGGTCTGTTGCCTTAGAGGAGAGGGGTGTAACTATATCAAAATTATTGAACCAACTGTAATTTTATTCAGTGTAATGTATTTAAAATATTTATTGAAACTAATTTATTTTCTCAATAAATATCTACGAAAGTAGTACAAAATAACAACCCGGATCATATTAACCGACCCGGGCCCATATCACAGAAACTTGGACTAGTCATGTCGTGACCGAACCAGAGTTTCGACAAAACATTTGTGATTTCTCTTGATTTCTTTTCTATATATATCCTTATTTCTCGCTCTCACTCAACTAAACAACAACAACAACAACAACAAAAAAAAAAAGAAAAAGTAGTTTTGATTCCGTGATTACTCTCCAATTCACCTAATCCACTTTTATTTTCATTTCTATATTCTCTTTCCAACTCTTCACTCTCTCCCCCAAAAATGCTCAGCCCACACTCAATTCAGCAGTAGAACTCACTCTCATGGGCAAAGCAGCGAGGTTTTTTCGCGGCCTCCTCGGCCTCAAAAAGGAGGAGCCGCGGCCTCCGGCGAAGCAGCCGAAGAGAAGATGGAGTTTCGGTAAATCACACAGAGAAAAGGACCTCTCTACTGCGAATAATGCCGCATCGCCGGGTTTCGACGCCGGCGACGGCGATCCGAGCAAGCACGCGATTGCGGTGGCCGCGGCCACCGCCGCCGTGGCGGAGGCGGCGGTAGCGGCGGCGCAAGCGGCGGCGGCGGTGGTGCGGCTGACGAGCAGCGGGAGGTCCAACAATGGCGTCGTTAACGGTAATCATGTATCCGCAGCGTACGTTAGCGGCAACGGCTGTGAGATTCAGGAAGAGTGGGCGGTGGTTAGAATACAAGCTTACTTCCGAGGCTATCTGGTTGGTATTTTCTCTGATTCTGATTCTATTTTTTTTATTTTTTATTTTTGTTGTCAAGACCCGCATTATTTCACTATCTCATCACCGACGGAAATACTGTCGTTGAGCGCGGGGGTTATGCGGTCTTTTCATCTCTGGCATAGAGGATATGGACCCATGGTTTTCAACTTCCAAGTGGAAGAAAACGTTGAAGAAAGCGTGTTTGGATCTGCATTATTAATTTAATCCAACCAACGATTTTTTTTAACGGGTGCTTTGCATTTAATTTAACTATTATCAAACATTGTGGACCTCAATTCTAGCACTTATTTTTACCATTTTTTTTTACCCCATAAATCTCTATGCTTTCTAAAAGGAATAAGTTTTTTTGGGGGGCTGATGTTGGTTTGTTAATAAGATGTATTACAAAGTGACTCGAAATCTTTTCGAGTTATGGTTACATGCGCCGCTATAAACAATAATTGTTTGTTTTTGATTTTTTAAAAATATTTTTTAGAAAATTCAATTTTTTTATTTTTATTTTTTGTATTTATTTTTATTAATTTTTTTTATTATTTAAAATAATTTTTTTAATTTTTAGATACCCTTAACATAAATACACATAAAAATATAATTTTTGTGATTTTTTTTTAAAAATCCATTATCAAAAATATAAAAATACGAGAATTCAATATATTTTTCATATTTTTATGTATTTATTAATTTTAAAAATATTTTTCACAAATTTTTTATATGTTGTATATAAAAAAGTAAAAAAATATTTAAAATTTTAAAAATATCCAATAAAAAAAATAAAAATAAAATACAAAAAATTCAATTAAACTCAAATCAAACACATACAATAAGTTGGCCAATATAGCTTGGATTGAGTCTAATTTTGTGATGGATTTAAGAGAAATGAAATAAAAATTCAAAATTCAAAAAGAGTCCATGGGTATGATTTTGAATAATGTTATATGCACTAATTAATGTATATATTAATATATTAACTGATAATGTGACATTATTTATATAGTTTTGCATATTTATAATTTATATCATAAACATGGTCAATAATAATATCATAACATTAGTTAATATACATTCACGTGTTTTGGGTCATTTTAATTTTGTCTTTATCGAGGGGGTTATTTTAGTAATGTCAATTCTCAACCTCTCTTTGCATGTATATTCTGTCTAATTTCATTCTTGCGATTTTAATGCGGGAGTACCGTGGTTGATGTGCATGTTACACGAATGTTGTAATGGGACCACTTTTGTTATACTCCCAACCGAACTCCATCAACCCCACTGCACAATGAATGCTAGGATTCTATAAATATGATACATTGGGAGAGTTTGAGAAGTGATTTAAAATAGTATATTAAAAAATATGATAAATTAAAATAATTAATAAGATAAAATGTTATATTTATTTTATAATTATTTTATTTTTTATTTTACAATTATCAAATCAATTAAAAAAATTCAACTTATCAATACAATTATTTTAGTCAAGTTAAAATAATTAAAAAGTCAAATAACTAATTAAAATAGCTAATTTTCAAACAAGACCGTTATTAGATGCCCTTGAAATAACATCAATATCAATGTAATAGCCTTGTTTGGTAGAGTTTGTTTTTGTCATTGATAATCCAAAATTAAAATTTTTTCTTCTTCTTCTAAATAATCAAATTTTCCTAATTTATTTAAATTATTTTTGTCTAATAAATTAAATAGTCTCATACATACTCTCAAATCAGAACAAGTTATATTCACCTCTTAAAGAGTAGTGCTATATATTTTAAATTTTTTACCAAATGTATTGTATGAGTGTGGGATTCACACCATGTAGGTGCTACACCCATATGAGACATTTAGGCCTTGTTTGGGTTGTCTTAAAAAAGCCAAAAAATCAAAAAGTTACTATCTTATTTAAGTCACGTCATCTTATGTAAGTTACATCACTTCTCTATCACACCACTTCAAACCTAACTCATGTTTCATAACAATTCAAAAAGTATGCTTATTTAGATCTTAAATAGAATGATGTGGTAGAGAGGTGATGTGACTTAAATGGAATGATGTGACTTAAATATGATAGTGGCTTTTTAATTTTTTTTGAAGATGTCAAACAAGTCTTAGTATAAATTTTGATAAAACTTGTAGGATCTTTAACATTTTTGCCTCTTAAAATCTTCATCTCTTAGAAGTTGGTGCTTGGAGTAGTCAATTCCACGTGGCACTCAGGACTATAGAATAATTTTCTTTGAAATATACTATTTTACCCTTCTGAAATTTTACCCTAAATGTTTAGGATGTATTTTCATTTGGAAGTCTCACAAAATAACAATTTATAGGTATTATTCTAATATTCTTTAATTTTGTCATTTATAGGTCTTGCTGGTTAAAGTTGTAAGATTTTGTTAGAAAGAGCAAAGATTTTCCTTATTTCAACCTAAAATTTTCAAAACGGAACTATTATTTTCATTCCCTCTGTATTTTGTCTTTACTATTATTGTCTAACATATATAGTAGTTAATATTGCATTTTTCAATTCACATTAAATGATTTGGAGTGTAATTATAAGAAAGGGAGTATGAATAGTAATCACTTTTCTTGATTTTGACTAATTAATTTTTAATCGAGACCACCACTTCAATTTTGATTCCAAATCATAGTGAGAAAGTGTATGTATCCTTGCCTTTCAATTTTCCTGAACCACCAGTTATTATTGATATTTCATTGCTAAAGTGATAGCTCATAATCAAATGGTTTTTGTGATGATTACATGCATGTTTGGTGCAACTCTTGTAAGTGAGAGCTCATAATCAAATGGTTTTTGTGAATAAGCCGAAAATTGATAATTAAAAAATAGAAGTTAAAAACATCTTTTTCTTACCTCTCAGTAAGTAGTTTTGTTTTTGTTTTTTTTTTTTAAAGTTTATTTAAGTTATTTCAACCTTAGAAAATGTAAGCATTAATTGCACAAAACATTTTGACAAAGATTTTTAAAATAAATTTAAAAAAAAAAATTATAAGCAGTTTAGTAAATTACACCTAACATGGCCCACATCATCATACATGGCCAGAGTCTGAATCTTTACTATTTTATCTTTTGGGCCTTGAGGGGTTGTACTACACTAGGGGGTCCCATGCCAACAAAAAGTTTGGTGTTAAAAGGGTGTGTAAATGTGTTCCCTTTGGAGAATTTGTACCACTTTCTGGATAAAAAGCTGGTTAGTTGGGTATTCCAATCCAATGTTCTAATATTATATTGTGAGTCAGAGTCTCATGCATTACTTTACTCTTTTTCCACAGGATGGCTGGTGAGATGTCCTAGTCTCTACTTAAATGTCAGACTTTCTCTCTTTCGTGGAAGATTTAAGGGGGAAGATTAATATTTCAAGGCGCCCTATGACTTTTAAAATTTTCTTTGTTCAGTGTTGAAACTTTAAAGTCTTGTCTTTTGGCGCCATAGTCAGAGTGTCATCAGTCATTTACCAATTACTACTAATTAGGTTAATTTCATTTTTATTCCTGAACTATTAATTTCAGTCCTTGTGGGTTTTTTCTTTTTCATTTTCTTTTCATGTGGTCTATTGAAGAGGATTGTCCTAATTTGCTAGACAAAAATGTCTTTTTAAAGTTTGAACAACTTGAGTGTGGTTGGAGAGGAGAGGAGAGGATGAGGGAGGGAGACAAACATGGTTGTTTTGTTGTAGAGTGTAAGTTGTGTGAATAAAGAAGGGTATTATTTGGTTATATGATTTAGGTTATCCAAATTGGAAAATTGTATTTTTGCTCCTTTAGTTAGGTTTCAACCGTTACTTAATAGATGGCAGCCACATAAATGAACTGAAATCAGAAACTCTAGGGGCTAAATAGATGAAATTGTTAGTTTATAGCAATAATTTAGGGGAGAGGAGTGAAATTAGCCCCAAATAATTTATAGTCGTATCAATGATCCATTTTGACACTGTTGCAGTGATGCACCATTGCTCAATGGCCTTGCTTGTGTCCTCTGCCCTCTGATTTTAATCAAATGGATGGTTGCTTCAGTGATGGAGGGTTTTTATTTATTTATTTAATTGATCTGGGTGATAAGTTGGTTTGATGATTAATTTTCATGGGTAATGTGAAGGCAAGGAAAGCATTGCGAGCATTAAAAGGACTGGTGAAGCTTCAGGCATTGGTGAGAGGTCACATTCTGAGGAAGCAAACTGCGGACATGCTACGATGCTTGCAGGCATTGTCGCGAGCCCAAGCACGCGCTTGTGCTGGGCGGGTCCTAATATCTGAATCCCCACATTCAAGCTCCAAGTCCTCTCAATTCCACCATCCTGTGAGCAAATTTCACTGTTCCCTCCAATATTTAAATTTGAAAAGTATAATTGCTTCTTTAAGAGATGTATTTCAGACTTTCGAATTATAAAGTTGTATACTTTAGGCAGTCTGTATAGAATACTTTTTTCTTTTAATAAAACATCCAATACATGCTTTATTAAAGAGAAAATGTGTTGACACTTGTCAAACTAGAATTGCAAGTATTTTTTTGGTGTGCAGTTAATCATCAGTAAGGATTGTCCTAGTTAACTCAGTGTTCGTTGTTAAGCATTTTTTCAGGAGTAATTTGGATACTTGTTCAATTTGAGCCCTGCTTGTAGGTACAAGTTAGTTACCAGTATACAAGGTGATGAGATACACTGGACTTAAACTGAAATGATAAAAAAATAGTCTTAAATTTAGTAATGGATGAATTCCTAATGACAGTCCCTGCTTTTCATTCAATAATCTAGAAATTGGTTCATGATGCTGAATTTTTTGGATTCTTTTCTAAATTATAGCAATTCTATGAATTTTGGCACTTGTTTCATCAGTAGTGGTAACAGAATATATCTTTTGTGATATGCAGGGCCCTGCAACCCCTGAGAAATTTGAACACACCTTACGGTCAAAGAGCACAAAACATGACCACTCACCAATGCTTAAGGTACCGCTGTAGACTCTTTCTGTTTTTTATCGTATACTACTATGATATTTATCTATGATCAAAATGATCCACACCTCAATCCATTCACCATCAAATGCAGAGAAATGGCTCGAAATCTATTGGTCAGGTGATCATTGATCAAGACAAGGCAAATAATAGCTGGGACTGTTTAGACTTGGATGAAGGCACAGGGGACCAAAGAGGGCCTTCAATGAAAACTAGCCAGCTGGACGATGAAAAGAGTGACAAGATTCTTGAAGTAGACACTGGGAAACCCCATTTCGCTCCCAAAAGGAAAAACCTTTACCCGTCTTCCCACCATGCCTCGGCTTCAGATCAATATAGCCATAGCTTTAGCGCTTCAAAAGATTCAACAACCCATCAAACTGTTCCAAGCCCATCGTCTTGCGAAGTTCAATCTCTGAGCCCTTTGGAGTTTCCCCAAGACGTCGAAGAAAGCCCGTTCTGCACAGCTGGCAATAGCCCACAGTTCTACTCGGCTTCATCTAGAGGTGGCAGTTCTAAGGGAGGGCCATTCACTCCCTCCAAGAGCGACGGTTCTAGAAGCTACCTAAGCGGTTACTCAGACCACCCAAACTACATGGCTTGCACTCAATCTTCAAGGGCTAAGATTAGGTCTCTTAGTGCTCCGAAACAAAGGCCTCAGCTTGAAGGGTCTGTTCCAACCAAAAGGTATTTGGTTAATTTGCTCGATGATTCGAGTTCAAGCACTCAAAGGGTTTCTGTTTTGCATGCCAACTTCACGAACAAAGCTTATCCAGGGTCTGGCCGCTTGGACCGACTTGGAATGCCAATGAGAGGCGACATGGTTGGGCTTAATGCTGGAAATTGGAACAGATACTAAGCAAGGGTTTTAGGGGTTTAAGGGTTTTGAGTCTGTCTTGTTTATCAAAACTAATCTTGCTAACTGGTGTATTTAGGTACAGTTGTTATTGTTGGTCTTTCTAAGGTATGTCTCTGTTTATGTTTTAGGTTTTGTTATGAACCTAGCTAACCGGTAAGAGTTTTGTAAGCACTTAATGTTTAGTTTATCAATGTGACTTCTTCCTACTTTTGGAGCTGAAACATCTATAAATGGGTAACAGTGGAGCTTTTTCACTTGGCTATCCCTCGCTTTCCCTTCCTTTCTTCTTAGAAGCTCTGTTACATTTGGTGTTATACTAGTTTCAACTGTGAAAGAGACTATTTTAACTCAATTCTTTGAGTTGTTTGACTGTTGCAATTAACTAGGATTTACTATGTCAAGGTTGGTGAAGTAAACACATGAAAACTCCAAATCAACTTTCACTTTATTTGGATAGAGTGATTTGGAGAGAAAAAAAAAAGAGAAAAAAGAAATCAATCTCTTTTTATCTTGTATATTATTAAAATTGTTCATCTAACTATAAAATAAATAAAAGATTATTTTGGTACAATTACGTGTAAGAGTTTATTTTCTTTCTAATTTGACCAAATAAAAAAGAAAGAAATACAAAATTATTTTTTTCTAATTTATTTTTTTTCCCTCCTAAATATCCAAACACTGTTTAGTCCAAATGGTTTGGAGACAAGACTATGGTCCCGTTTGGTAGAGCTGTGGAAAAGTAATTATAGATTATAACTTAACAGATTATAATTTATAGCTGTGATGTGAACATAAGCTGTTAATCTGTTTAGTGTAACTGTGAGATTATGAATTTAAGCAGCAGAGTAATATTTGGTTGATAAGATGTAAAATAACTTTTTGCTGTGTAATTGTCCTTTTTATCCTTACATGATATAAAAATGATTATTTTGTCTTTTTTTTTTAAGTTTTAATTTTAAAAAAATTATTTCATTAATAAAAGTTAATATAATTAGTATTACAAAAATTATTATTTTCATTTCTTTATTATAAATTAATTAGTATAAAATTATTTCACTTTTTCATTATAAATCAATTAGTATAAAATTATTTCATTATAAATTAATTAGTGTCAATTAATGGCTTATTTTCATTATAAATATTTTTTTCATTTTTTCATTATAAATCAATTAGTATAAAATTATTTCATTATAAATTAATTAGTGTCAATTAATGGCTTATTTTCATTTGTTCATTATAAATTATTATTTCCATTTTTTCATTATAAATCAATTAGTATAAAATTATTTCATTATAAATTAATTAGTGACAATTAATGGCATTTAAGTCATTTTGCCCCTCAAATGTCAGTTGCGCGCTTAAGCTGTTTGAAAAAGCTTCTCCTGTCTCACTCAAAGAACAAACTGATTTTTGACTTAGAAAAAACTATAATCTGTATTATTAAGTTAAATCAAATATACCAAAAATAACTTAAATTAAGGTAGAAACTGAAAATAAGTCTTACCGAATAGGACCTATGTTATATGCTCGAAATTCCGTACTATCATATACATAGAAACTCCATATTTTATTCGGCTGGGTTGGGCTGGGCTTAGGTCAGAACCTTAGCGGGATTGGTAAGCTAATTGGGCCAAGATTTTTATAGTAATATATAACTATTGCTATTAGTGGACATCAAGGGGTGTCGTGGTGTAGTTGGTTATCACGTCAGTCTAACACACTGAAGGTCTCCGGTTCGAACCCGGGCGACGCCATTGTTTAGTTTTCTCCTTTTTCGGGGTGAATTTTCTTTTTAATTTTTTTTAAAAAAACTGCGTTTTTTATCCTTTTTTTCGTTAAACAAATTTTGAAAACTCAATCAAAATTTTACATCCTATTTAGCATGATAGATTCATCAATTTTTAAAGGGCAAATTTCACTTTATCCTCTATCGTTTGGGTCGGGTGCGATTTATCCCATTGACATTTGGATATCACTACATAACCTCCATGTGGTTGATGGACTAAAACGCACATTAACTTCTATTAATAAAAGTTGTAAATTGACAATTATAACCTATATTATTTCAGGAAAACCCAATTCTATTTATCTCCATCTCCATCTCCATCTCCATCTTCTTTTTCTCTCTCTCTCTCCATTTCAACTTTATATGTGTACATACGTATACATATATATACATATATAATTTCATCTTCATCTTTTTCTTGATTATGTGTACATATATATACATATATACATATCAAACCCAGTTCGAATGCAAAGCCCATATTCGAATGAATGGAAATTTTGAGATTGAAGTCGGAGACATTCATAGATCACTGAGGTATTCGGAGAAATTCAAAGCCCCTGTTCATCTCAAGTATTTTATTTGAAGCAACCATGCCCAGTTCATAGTATCATGTTAATTTCATCTATGTTGACCTAGTTTTTTGGGCTATCATACAAGCTAAGCTACCCTTTAGGGCATAAAATGGATTGAATTAAACTGTCACATATCAAGAGGAGTTGAACCCAATGGTGCTGGAGCTAACCCTCGTAGGATAATATAATGGAAGTAAAATTCAAGAAGAATTTAGATCATGGCTTGAAGATATACCTATCTAAATCCTATTCTTGAACTTCAAGGTTGATTTGTAATACGTATCTGTGTACTTGTAGGATAATTAATTATTTGAAGATATACCTATTAGATTTCCATAGTAGACAAAAGAATGGCATTGTGATGTTATTGTGATGTTTTCCAGCAAGTATAGGAGGTGTTGATGGATATGTAGAAATGGAGTAGATAGAGATATAGTAGAGAGAGAAAAAAAAATGGCATTTTTTTGTAAATTTGAAGTTGTACAAGGGGCATTTTCGTCTTCAAAATGAACCTACTCTCCACATAGGCGAGTGGTTTTCACATTCCGTCATGTTAGACAGAAAAGCTAACAGTGCACTTTAGTCCATCAACCACATGGGGGTTATGTGATGATATCCGAATGTCAGGGGGTAAATCGCACCCGGCGCAAACCATAAGGGGTAAAGTGAAGTTTGCCCATTTTTAAATTTGTACTCCATGAAATAAAGAGATAAATTAAATGTTGTGGTAAATAGCAACCTTCAAATTTATGTAGTCAATTATCAATACATGTGGGTGGGGTTGGGTATAGGTTATTTGATCTGCGCAAACTGCCTAACTTGAATTGTCCAACCCGAACCACCTACACCTATTGGGGCGATTTCGCATAATCGTTATGATCGGATGTGAGTTAGAATTTTCCTATTTTGCGGGTTACAGTAGAGTTGCAGTTTTTACCTGCACTCACCCGCCTACATCTATATACATTTTTAAAAAAAAATTGGACCGTTAAATTTTCTTGTAAGTTTTGTAAGTGTGTAACCCTAATTTTCCCTTCTCTCACTCACTTACAAGTAAACAAATGTTTTGCAATTTGTTTTACATTACTAGTGTGAAAACCCAACAAATATGGGTAACTTATAATAAAATAAGTTACTTATTTATGGTTATGCTTCTTATTTTTCACCCGTTGTGAGTTTAGCAAATCCTAAAATTAATTTTTCAGAAGAGATGCTTGTCTATTTTTATTAAAACAACTATGAGTTTTGTTTAGTTTATACATTTTTTGAAAAGTGAATGTAAGTAAATTGGCTGATCTTAACATGTGTTTATGGTCTGTTTTCTTCTGAAAATAAATTGGATAGATAGACTGTAATTTATTTGGGATAAATCATTTGAAAAATAAGCTTGGTTAGGGTTTTCTAAAAACACTTTTTAAAAAATTTTACTTTCTTGTTTTTCGTATTTTTTTGAATTTTTTTTAATATTTTAAGCAAATTTTTTTTTTTTACTTTTTAGACTTATGTCTAAAAAGTAAAAAATTTGTGAAAAAAACTTTTTAAAAATTCACTAAATACCAAAAATACAAAAAAAATACGAGGATTCAGTATATTTTTTGTATTTTTATGTATTTATTAATTTTTAAAAATATTTTTTACAAATTTTTTACTTTTTAGATACATCTAAGTATGGTGCATCTAAAAAAGTAAAAAAAAATGTTTAAAATTTTAAAAATATTCACTAAAAAAAAACATGAAAACCAAAAAACTCAGTTTTCAAAAAATTTAATCCAAAAAACTCAAACCAAACACGCTGATGATTTCATGATAAAAAAAAATGTGATTTTATGATCCAAGATAATATTTAAAAAATGGGAAAAAAATGCCTAAAAGAATATTTAAAAAATTGAAAAAAACAAGTCCAAAAATAAAATTTTAAATGAAAAGCCTAATTAGCAAACCGCTCGCACATCTACAAATTCTATTCGCACAAACCGCAATTCGAATTGTCGCCGATTGCAGGTTTAATTTTTCTCAAACTGCAGATATGTGGACGAATCCAAACCGTAAACTGTACCATCAAAAATTGATCCCAAGCACCCCTACATGTGGATACAAATTATTTGAATGAGGCAAGAATGATTCGAAAAGTAGCATGTTGGTCATCCGTTCAATGTACAATCTAACTTCATTTCAAATGTAACCATTACATTCAAAAATGAATATAAACCACACATTCAATTTTCTATGCATTTCTTTGATTGTATTTTTTTTTTTTTCTTTGCACATGGCATTGTGGGAAATTGAAATTATTGAGAGTTATGTTACAGAGGCACACAAATCACTTGTGTATATTTTATTATTAGACCACATGACAAAAGCAAAATAATAATAAAATCACTTCCATATATGAAGAACAACATAATTCCATCATCATTAATTTCAGTAATTAGTACATAATGGGAAGAGATCCCACGTAAATTTATACAAACAAGACTTCCTAAATGTCCACAAAAACAAAAAAGAGAGAGAAAAATTATGGGTCAGAGACTATAAACAGAATCATACAAATGAAATAAACAAATAACCAATCAAGAAAGACGAAATCAGAGAAAGCCAGAGAAAATGGATTCTCCGATCAGTTATTACAGTTCCATCTTGAGGTCGGCACACAGCTGAGGTAGTAGCACCAGCTGCAATGATCGTTTGCATTCACCCCTTTGAATAGCAGTACCAGTCCCACTGTAAATCTGCAGTATTTTTCAACAAGAAAATGAATGGAAATTAGTTTTTTTTTCATAGGAGCAAATAATGTGTCCATTTGTATAAATCTCAAACAAGAAAACAGAATTGCAAAAATCTAAAAACAAGCTTTTGGGGGAAAAAAAAAAAAAAATCTTGCTATTTTCTCTACCTTACTTGTTTACTATCCTGCATTGAACAAAAGTTTCTTCTGGATTATGTCAAATGTAGGATAGTAAACAAGTATGGTGGAAAAAATGGCAAGGATGAATTGATAAAACTGTGGAAATAAAAATCATCTTTTGTTTTTTGTGGGTAATATGGATCGATCATATTCTGTATGCTTCGTGACAACCCAATTTTAACGACTACTGCAATCCTTCATAAATGGAAATGTTTGGAGGAGGGGAAGACCTAAAATAACATGGGATGCGGTACTAATAGAAGATATAAATTTATTTAGGCTCTGTTTGGTTTTGGCTTTTTTAGTCATTTTTTTGCCTAATTACGCTAAACAAATCCTGTTTGTTTTCAGTTAAAAAAAAGCTAACCATGAATAAAAAGGAAAATTGAAAAAAAAAAAAAAAGGCTAAGTCTCAATTTTTCCACTAACAAAAAATATTATTTTTAGCATTTGACAAACTCATCAGCCATTTTAGAAAGTCTTCTACCAAAAAAAACCGTTGCCAAACCAGTCCTTAATTTAACCCAACAAATCAAGAGCGGAACTATATAGGGACGGGCAGTGGCCACGGCTCCTCCCAAGTTTTGGAAAATTTAAATACTACTCCTATATTTCATGATCATTTATAATATATAATGAGATTATTTATAAAATATAATGAGATGATACTATTTTATAAAATCACTCACTAATGTTTTATTTTATCAGTACTTTATAATATATAATGAGATGATTTTTAACTATTTCAAATTATAAAATGAAAAAAAATGACTTGTTAGATTTATTTAATTTTACCCTTATGAAATTCTATTTTCACAATGTTTGTATAAAAAAATATTTTTAATTAGTCATGCACCAAAACTAAGTCAATGTTTTTTATACACACCCCCCCCAAACAACATTTTTTGATTCGACCTCTGCAACAAATAGCCCTTAATAGAGCAGAGTGATGAAAAATGATTCATATACCTCACTTGCGTGAAACACAAGGCCTAGCTTGGTACTGCAATTCTACAGTAGAAGATAACAAACATAGGATTTAGGGTGATAATGCTTACCCAGCAATCAGCAAAACCAGAGCAACCAACAAGAATACATATTGGTAAACCGTAAACTTTGATATGGCACGAGCACCAGCTGGAAGATTCCGCCTCTCCAGCCAACCAAACTGGGGGCGGAGTAGCAATATGAAACCAAGGAGAAAACCCGTCAAGAATCCTCCAATGTGTGCAAAGTTGTCGACGTGCGGAAGAATTCCAACTGCTAAGTTGATGACAATGATGATCACGAGGGTAAATAGAGCAGCAGCCTACAAAATAAGAGAGGAGGAATTACTAAATGTGATTAGAGTTGCCGAAATTCTTCATTTTCATGGCCTAAACAAAATTTTAAAAACCAGTTAGACAACTAGACTTTCAACCACCAATTTTCATATTATTCAATAAGGAAATAATAGAAGAGAAGAAGAGAGGGAAAAAAAGAAGCATTTTCATGTGTTTTGGTGTCATGATAAGGATCTGTAAATCTCAAAGAATTCCTGGAAGCCATTGCAACGTCAAGTGTTTTCAAGCTTCACGAACCCAAGCATCATTTGAGTAAATAAAAGAGAAAAAAGAGAAATCCTAACTCCTAATACATTAAAAAAAGGGGTCAAGCATCATTTGAATCTACCTTATTGGTATAAATAGTCCAATTAGTAAGAAGCTCTGACAGCATTGCTCCAAGAAGTCCAAATAGAGCACCCGATGCACCAACAGAAATACTGCGTTGAATGAAAAGGGAGGAGAGTATACTCCCACCGACCCCTGACAACAGGTAGATTGCCCCAACTAGCACTGCCACATACAAAATAAATAAATAAATAAATAAATAATTGAAGAAGAAGAAGATATTAATGCCAAGTTTGGCTATCCTAAATAAGTACACACTTTTTATCTTTTTATCTTTTTTCCATCACATCATCTCTCTACTTTTCTACACATCTTTTCGTAAAAAGACAAAAAGTGCACTTATTTAGGTTATCCCAAACAACCCATAAATATGCATAAGAAAAAAAAACAAAATTGTCTAGAGTCTAGACAATGACAATGACAATGAATGGATGAGAACCTCATAATGGGCCCGATTATGGCACAAAAGGGGTGCCAAAGATATCCATGGGGTAAAATTAACTCCATTTTTATTAGCTTTTAGGACACAAATATATCCAAATATGAGAAGCCACGTCGTCCTTGCTAAAAATTCGAGTGACGAGAAATGAAACGAAGTTTCAATGCTTTCACTTAGTCATATCCAAAATGATCATTGTTACTCATTTCATTACCATAGGACATCCAAACCCCAAGGAAACCATCGTAAACGCCTACATCTGAGCTCCTCAACAAGTGACAGCGGAAAAGTTCAATGAACTGAACTGCTTTTTTACAGACTAATTTGAATTAGGGACAAGTCACACAAGTGGAAAAGAACATAACATACCAAACCCAAATTGCTGTTCAAGGCGGATCCCAATGAACACTAAGCTCAACATGTTTGCCAGTAGATGAACAACACCAGCATGCAACCAGATGCAAGTGATAAGTCTCCATCCTTGATGTCCGTGTGCTACCTTGTTCCACTCTAGAGCTCCCAATTTTTCCAATCTGTGCGCAAGGGCATGTAAAATTAAGAATTACTACAATTAAATTTTATCTGTTTATTTATTCACCGTTAAAGAGCTCTGCAAAAGCTCATTTAACCCCAAACAAATTCCCTAGGACTGCTACAACTCCAAGATATAGACCACGAAAATTATGAAGGTAAACAACAATGGAAAACATAGTTGCCCTATTTTCACAAAATATAATAACAATCAAGATGATAGCCCAAAATAAATGGAAAAAAAAAAAGAAAAAAAATTCCCAGCACATTTCCACAGAAAAACATATTACATACAAAATTAAAAAAAATTACAAAGAAATATAGTTCCTGAGGCCGCAATCCCCAGCTGACTAGCCTAAATCAAAAACAGCAAGAGATGTCCATGTAAAAATAATTAATAAATAACAAATCCTCAATTTCTAAAAGCATATCATAATTAATCCTGAAAGCATGAATTTCCATAAACCCACATGCCCATAAAGATCCCTAGTCAATAAATGAAAAAAATAGAAATCAAATTTAAAAAAAAAAAATTCCGCATAAACAACTTGTCCAAAAAACTAAAAAGCCACTTGTAAATCAAAACACAAAACATGCAGCGGAATAAAATCATCAGATCATACCTTTTGATGATTGAACCTCGTGGATAAATCACGTGCTTCCAGAATCAGATCAATCAATCGCAGCAGTGGGGTGATATTACATTGGTGAATATCACCCACACAAACCACAGTGCAAAATGACTTTGATCGTTGTTTCTTGGGAGAGAGTCAGAATATGGGTTGAAACAGACTCAACGTTGTTTCTCTTAGATTACCCATAACCATATAACAAATATTTAATATATTATAATATCTATCCATATCAGTTAAGATACAGATAATATCTAATATATTATATCTATCTATATCAGTTCAAACTGATAACGTCTGTTTCAAGAGTGGTTATCCTAAATAGGTTTGATTTCAAAATCAAAACCTATTTGGATAAGGATTCAAAATCAAATTTTAATGGTCATGCCACATGGGCGCCCATTACTAACACCACTAAATTTTCATTAAACCACATGCGTAAACTTATATGCTAAGGAATTCCCAATCAATGAATCAAACCCAAAACCAAATTAAAAAAAATACAAAAAATTAAAAAATGGACGATGACAAGCTTGGATGACTAAGAGATGACAAGTCTCTTACACTTCCGTGTTACAATTAGAGGTGATAGAGATTAGAGAAATATAAGTGGTGCGGAAACTTGGGGGGCAAGGACTAGTTAATGTTTTAGAGGCATCCAATCCAAAAGCAATTAGCTTTTGAGGAAAAGACCCTTAAACTATATTAATCAAGTTTGCTTGACTCATAGAAGTGATCCTAAACTCATATGCTGTGGACTCCAATTGGATTAATTAAAACCCCAAACCAGTTATTTATTATTTAAGGACAAAATACAAAAAATTTGAGAAATGAGTATACTAGAAAAACAACAAACATGTTAGAATCAAGACTCCTACAACAGGCATAAACTCACACTGATTATCAACAAACCAAAGCTAACAAAATTAAATAACACAAATTGAGAGAAGCGAACTAACCCAGAAATTTCCACAAAAATTGATAAATACCCAATTCAGACCAATGATTCAAACCCAAAACCCAATTGAAAACAACAACAAATAACACAGTTTCACGAGATGGGTAAGCAAAACATTACGTAGAAGAAGAGGGTCCGAAGAGAGGGTTTTCCCTAAGAGGCTCGAACGAGAATCTACCGAGAAACTTGGCAACACAATTCCCTTCAAAACCCAAATTATTTTTGGGGCAATCGTTGACGAACATGATGGCAACGAACATACCCACGTTAGCCACTACAATCATCGGAACCAACCACGAAGTCCACATCGTCTCTGTGGAATCTAGGTAGTACGAAGGCGAGTAATAGCTTGGTGGGTTTGTATTGCCTCTGTTTTTAGTACCTACTCTGTTCTCTGGATCTTCATTCGCCATTCTCTACCCTTTCAATTTAAATCTCGGAGACAATGAATGTATATATATAGATAGATAGATAGATAGATACAGAGTAATGAAGAAGGTTGAGGAGTGACTTTGAAGGGAGTGGGTGGGAGTCTTCAATTGGATGCTAGAGAGAGGAGAGAGGAGAGAGAGAAATGGGTGACCGTTGTGGTGAATTCAACTGCCGAAATCATGGAGGAGATGAGAGAGAGAGAGAGAGAGACTTTGATTTCAGTTGGTTGTCTATTTTATGTTAGGTGCAGTTGCCACCATTTTACTTGCAAGAAAAAGACAGCTACTGGTTGATTTTAGGAGAAGAGTGACATATAAAACTCATTTTTTAAGATTCATGTGTAACAGATATTAGTGTGGTTTGGGATGTGAATTTATTTTTATTTTTATTTTTTATTTTTTGGTTAAGTTAGTTATAAAAAAAAATAAAATAGGTTAAAAAATTAATAAAATAGAATATTATATTTAAATTATTTTTTTTACAAAAATTAAAAAAGTCAAAAAAAATTAATCCAAATAAACTTTTTAGTTGATACTAAAATAGTAAAAAAAAATTAAAAAGTCAATCCAACTTCTTAAATGAAGCTTTATGATTAAGGCAAGGGGTTGTGACAACTTGATAAAGTCTTAGGCTTCGTTTGTTTTCAGAGATAAAATGGAAGAGATTCATAGTAAGAGAATTAATAGTGAGGGGATTGATAGTAAGGAATTGTTAAATTATTTTTATATAAAATAATAAAACAAATAAAAAAATATAAAAAATTAAACATTATATTTAAAAAAAATTCCCAATATATAAAAAATAAAAAAAATTCTAATCCCCTCACTATTTTTCTAATACCATCTCTACCTCTTCCTTACCAATCCCTTCCAAAGGGACTATTAATACCAAGGGACTAATAGTCTCTTCCTCATCTCTCAAAACAAACACCCCATTAGTAATCCCAATCCCCTCATTATAACTCCAAACAAACGAGGCCTTAAGGTCTAAGTTTCGAGATCTCATATTCCATTTGGTAGGATGAACTTTCCAAACTTAGACAAACCGTACCCAATATCAGGAGTACGAGTTTGAATCTTTACCTATGTATAGTATGTACGAATCCGCGACTTACCGCTATATGGTTGAATGATCTTGTTATATAACATCACTTAAGAGTGACCTCCCAGGCGTGAACTCCCTAGCCCCAAATGTCACCCCATGTGATTAGGCCTTTTTAATATATTTAATGATTAGAAAATTATTTTAAATATTCTAATACATTGTTACAATGATAATTGTGGATGCAATTTTTCAGTATATTTTTTATTTTAATTTTAGGGAACCTATTTTATGGTCGTGTAATTATAAGTTTTATATTTTATTTGATAATAAAGTGTTTCAATCTCTTAGAATACACATTTATTAGTGGATATACAGATAGATTTTTTATATAAATTTTTTTAAAAAAATGTTTTATAAATAATTTTTGTACAAAAATTTTATCTAAAATGATGTGATAATATGTTTATGAAAGTATGAAATGACTGGGGGCTCTAGTTAGAACTACTACTAATGATGTGGCAGTGGGTCCTACCCGACCCACTACCATAGTGCCATTTTGGGAAGAAGCCAGTGTTTTTGGCTTGTGAAAAAAAAGCTGCCTTGCCGAAAATGCTAGCTGTTGCATTTGACAAGTGACAAAAAAACTGTCTTGTGAAATTATCTAAATACCCTCCATGTTAACAAATTACCTAAAATTCCAAAGTTTGGCAAGAGTATATTGGTCATTCTATTTTGATTTGATGCCATAAATAAATATTAAACCAAAAATAAATAAAAAAAATCAGTTTTTTACCAACTTTTCAAATTACTTTCAAAAAAGTCAAAAAATTTGATAAAAAATCAAAAGTCAATTTTTTACCAACTTCTCAAAACACCCCATAATATGTGCGGTGTCTGTTTGTTTGTTTTTTTGTTTTTTTTTTACTTTTCCACTTCATTAATAGCGATTTTAGAGCTACCAAATCAATGGTCTCTATCATGATTGAAATAGTAAATAGTTTGATTTGAAATGAGAAGACAGGAAAAAGCAATATATTCTTATGAAAAAATGATTTAGACCTGTAAAAAAAGAGCTCTAATGGAGTTTTAATTTGTCTTTTTCCTCCTTCATTTTTGTTTTTTACTTCACTATTTTTAAATTTTTTTTTTTTATTCATGGACAGCTCATTAGAGCTGTACTGCACCAACTCTAATTAGAGCTCTGCAACAACTTGGATTCTTGTGTGTCAAAGTTTCAAACAAAAATTATTTTGTATTTTTTTATTTTTTATTACTACAAGTTTTTAATATAAATTTTTTATTTATCTATCATTTGAGTTTATCAACGTGTTGGTGCTGGTAATAAGGACACTAAAGAGAATGTGACACTTGTCATTCAGGCTAATAGTTTGTAGGGTTTAAATTAACGAGCGGTTGCCACACGCGATGTGTGTATAATTTAAATAAATAAAAATAAAATAAGATATTTATTATATATTATATGTTAGTAAAGTGGTAAGAGTCTTATTCCTTTGACATAAGTTTAAGGTTTAAATCCTCTCCTCTTATTTATCTTTTTTTTTTTTTTATTATTTCAAATAAAAAGATAGACACGTGGCAATATAAGAAACAAAGGTTTCAAGACACCATAAGAGGTGTTTACTTTATAATAGATAGATAGATATTTTTGAGTCGGCAAGCAAGTCATTCAATTTAGATCTCATTTGGCAAGTATTTTTTTAATAAAAATGTCAAAAAGTTATTAAAAAAATTAAAAAGTCAACAATTTATATCAAAAAGTCAAAATTTTCATTTTCTTTCTACTTTTTGCACAGATTTTCCTAAAAAATAAAAAAGTCATCCTAAACATACTATTTCTTTTACTTCATATTTTAGCTAAAAAGCCAAGAAATTACTAAAAAAATATGTTTCCGAACGAGGCCTAAGTCTTCGTTTGGCATTGATTTTTTAGTTGACTTTTTTTATCGGTACTTTTTTAACTTAGCTTTTTTAGCCTTGTTTAATTTGGTTTTTTTAACTTTTTTGAATTTTGTAAAAGAAAAAATGTAATGATCATAGTTTAAATGTAATATTTTATCTTATTGATTTATGTAGTTAATTTAATCTTTTTGTACTTTTTTAACCAAAAATCAAATACCAAACAAAACTTTAGTCACTTAGAGCATCTCCAATGGTTCACCTAATTTTTCACCAAATCTGAATAAAAAAATGACCATTTTCTCAATCTGATACAGAATGCTCCAATGGTTGATTTTCATCAAATCTGCTCCAGGGACAACCGGTTGGTCGACCAGTAAGGTAAATTTTTTTTTTTGAATTGTTTGAACCTACCTATTTGAACTGTTTGAACCTTTTAGTGGTCAACCGGTAAGGCAATTTTTTTTTTTTTGAATTGTTTGAACCAACCCATTTGAACTGTTTGAACCTTTTAGTGGTCGACCAGTTGGTCAACCGGCCGGGCAACCGGCTGGTTGACCGGTTCAGCTCTTCCAACGGTCAGGAATAGTAATTTAGTAAAATCAGTACCTTGTTCTCGTTTGATGATTTTTTTGTTGAATTCTCATTTTGATATCAATTTGTGAAACGGTTGGAGCACCAAAAAGTATTTTTTTCACCAAAATTTGAATCTGATGCTAAGTTTGACTCACCGTTGGAGATGGTCTTATAATAATCACATGTACCATTTGTACATGAGAAAGTTTACATAAGTTTTTATTAAGAAAAACAAAGTTATCAAAAAATAAATAAGTAAAAGTTTATTGTACTCACCAAAAGTTTATTCTACTTGAGACACAAAATCAAATTTAAAACTACTTTCAAATTTTGTTAACTTTTTGGTGGTGTTTGGCAAGTGATTTTGGGGCTAGAATAGTCACAAAAGATAAAATAGGCTATTTTAGCCACAACAAACAAAACATCACATTCAATCCATAATCATTACACTCTTCTCTCACAAAAAAAGTCAAAAAGTCAAAAAATCTTTCCCAAACTAAGTTTTTTAGCCCAGGCTAAAATAGCCAAAAAAGTCAAAAAGCTAAAAAGCCAACCCACTTCCCAAACGGAGGCTAAGTTTTAACTTTGGTTTATTTTGGGAAGTGGGTTATAATCCAGATTATAACCTACTTCCTCTCTCACAAAAAAATTAATTATAAGCAGCTTTTTTTTTTTCACCAAAAAATTGATTATAACTATATTTCCAAAATAGCCATTTGTTAAAGTATTCTGCAAGTACATATAATAATTAAAGTTGGTTCAAGACCCATTGAAAAATAAATAAGTTAAATTAAAATAAATTTTAAAACTTACTAATTTTTAAATCCTATACTTAAATAATCAGTTATTCACTTTCATTCAACATACCCTTTTTTTTTTGTTTGTTTTGGAGACATGTAATTGTTAGATTACTCCTAAAGAGGGCCGCTATTCCATCAGCTTGAATTAGTTGAGCATATCTCATTTGTATATTTTTGTTAAATAATTATTAAAATTAGCGTTCAAAAGGCACAAGAGTAGAGTTAAGAGGATTTTTTACTTTTCTTTGAGAGAATCTTCACCACTTTGTCTTATACTTTGGACCATTTTCACTTTTTATTCGAGTAAAGACATTGGGGTTATTTTTGATTTTTTTTTTAGGGTATGGCTTCTATCCAATCCGGGATCAGACTGGACCATGCTGTTGGATCCGTGGAGGCCCACCACGGATCCCGTTTTGATAATTTGAACCGTTCATTGTGTAGAACTCTTCGAGTACTATGTGCTTGTAAAAAATCACGTTGATCGGATATCGATAGCTGATCAAAACTGTTTTTTGTCAACCGTTAGTTTGTTCGCTGTCCAATTTTTTTAATACGAAACCGATTTGATCATATAGCTATCGATATCCGATCAACGTGATTTTTTACAGACATATGGTAATTGACGAGTTCTACACATTGAACGGTTCAGATTATCAAAACGTGACCCGTGATGGGCCCCCACGGGCCCAACAGCACCGTCCAGTCCGATCCTGGACTGGACAGAAGTCATACCCTTTTTTTTAATATTGAGGTCAATTGGAGTGTGCGCTAGGTAGTGAATAAAAAAATGGAATATTAAGTCTCATTAAAATAGTATTAATGTCTCGTTTGGTAAGTGATTATTTTAACTTAAAAGTTAAAAAGTTACTAAAAAAAT